GAAAAAACTGTATCACAATTATTACAAAGTGCGTTTAAAAATTAAAAGTTTCAAAAATACAAATGTAATAGAAATTGTTATGCATACAATGTTATATAATTATATAACATGTGTCATGGTTTCACACTAGAATAACTAAGATTGTAGAAATACTTTAGTGTAAAGTGTCTATTTTCATTCAAATAATTATAATAAAAATTTATTTCAAAATTTATTATGAAAGAATTTTATGGAAAGCGTAAAGAAAGTTTTATATTTTGCCATAAACTGCTGTTAATACAACCACTAATTTCTCGATCTAGGATCTTAAAATCTTTTCTTTTCTCACAGTTAAATTATTTTCAAAAAAGCGCAATTTGAGAAAAAAAAATTACAAAATTTATTATGAAAGAATTTTTTGGAAAGCGTAAAGAAAGTTTTATATTTTGCCATAAACTGCTGTTAATACAACCACCAATTTCTCGATCTAGGATCTTAAAATCTTTTCTTTTCTCACAGTTAAATTATTTTCAAAAAAGCGCAATTTGAGAAAAAAAAATTACAAAATTAATAATGAAAAAGTTCTTCAGATGTGGAAGATGAAAACTGCTTAAAATACAGTTTCCCCAACTGTATTTTAAGCAGTTTCCATCTTCCACATCTGAAGAACTTTTCCATTATTAATGTTGTAATTTTTCTTTTCTCAAATTGTGCTTTTTTAAAATTCTATTGCGGATTCGATAATATGGAGCTTGTTTTCAGTTATTGCCACGAATAAAATTCAGTATTGCAAAATTAAGCTTATTTTATACCTGAAACACTTGGTAATGAAAGAACAGAGAATAGAAATTTTGTACCATGTATAGGGGAGATCGGGGCAAGATCGGCATGTTAAGCTTTACTTAAATTTTGTGTAATAAATACTGCTGTAAACTGAAAAAAAGCTATGCATATTGTCTATTGGAATGTTACCTTACTATAGAACTGGTTAAAATCAGTTTGGAAATAAAAATAATTAAAATAATTACAACTTTACAAGAAGAGAGAAATTGACGAAGTTGCCCCGGGTATAGGGGCAAGATCGGCAACTTCTCTCTTTTTGTAAAGTTGTAATTATTTTAATTATTTTTATTAAAGTTGCCCCTGGTATAGGGGCAACAGTAATGGGGCAAGATAGGCACGTATATAAAATTATGTTATTAACAATGTATAAGTTGGAATTCACTATTAAAACAAAGAAATACAAATCCAACACCCATTTAATATTATTACAACGAAATGCAAGTTCAAAGACATATATACATGAATAACAAATGCAAACATGTTTTCATTTATCATCTGTTTGATTTTTATCCTTTGCTTCTAATGTGGCTTTATGTTGCCGATCTTACCCCGCTAGTCATGATTTCGAAACATTAAGTACAACCCTGAGAACAGAATGCCAAGCCACGATCTGGCCACGTGAATAAGTTGAAGTTACATCCTTCTAACAGGAAAAGTAACTTTCGTTATCATGGAATTATAACAAAACCTGCCAATTCAATATAAATGGAAAAAAAATATTATATGGAATTGAACGAAAATGAAAATTTGCTTGATAATTCAACTACGCTTGTTGGAGAACAATAAAAACACTACACTCAACAAGCTACCAATGAAACTCAACTGCCTAACCTATAAACAAAGTTTTTTTTAATTTGTTTTTTAAAAAAAAGCGCTTGACAAACTTGCCCCGCATGCCGAAGTTGCCCCGATCTCCCCTAACCTGTTTAGTAAATACCCAGGATTTTTCCTATTCTGTTAGAACACTCCGTCCAATATCGCACTTTTTCTTTGTCTGTTGACTCGAGCGATGTAGCGAGGAGGTGCTGTATTTCCCAAATTGAAGAAATTGTTAAAGGAAATATATTAAAGTTCAGAAGGAAATATTTTTATATTTTGAGGAAATTTGTTTATTTTTTTAACTATTTTATATTTTGTCCATTTCTGAAACTATTTCAACGCAGCTCGTATCTGAAAACGAAGTTTAATTAAATTAAGATTAAATCCAAAATTTCATGAGATTTTTCAGTTGTTCAAAATTCAGTTCTAAGTTTTATTATACCAAATTGACAATATATTTGATATATTTATTATTTTTAAAAAAGTTCTAATTTTATCTGAATTATTTATTCTGATTACAACTAATTTTAGATACTACCATGAAGAATTTGATCTCCGTTTCCTTGTATCAGTCAATTAGTAAACTACAGTCTCATTGTGTTGGAGAGAAAACTGCTGCGTTTTGTGGAATTAAGTTTCATATAATCTGCATAATAATTTTTGAGCACATTACTGTAATGGTCTCTTATGGAACAGTAGGTAAGTTTGTCTATTGCTTTTACACGTTGCAATTTTGAAACTTTGTTTAAAAATTTATTGCTGCACCTTGCAAACTATATGAGTAACTGCAGTTTAAAACATGGAACTGTGAGCTGTGGTTACTTATACCCAACCACAGCTGCTTTCTGCTGCTTAGTACAAACCAGCAAAAAATATGTTCAATACTGACATAAGAAAATTTTTATAAATCAACGAGAGTTGTGAATACAGTGTTTGTATTTCATAATATTTACAGACAGTAAGAAATGAAACACTAACAAATACAGTAGAGTCTCGAAAACTCGGCACTCGATAACTCGGCGGTCCGGATAACTCGGCCACACACTGGCAGGGAAAAAAAATCCTTAGTTAATTAATTTTCATTCTAGACAGCTTTATGCCTCATAAAGTATTTTTCTGAGGTCTGTCTTATCAGGTAAATTTCTGTACACAGTGTATTTATTAATTTTCATTTTCATGTAATAGAGGCTCTATGCCTCCATAAAGGACGTACTTTTTTAATGGTATTTGGGCAGTTTATTCTCTGTTGTATTCTCAAGTAAACAATACATACAAGTACAGTACAGTATTTTCTGAGGAAACACTCATAATTATTTTTTTTACCCCATTCCCGATAACCCGACATTTTCACAAACTCGGCCACCCTTCGGTCCACATTAGGCCGAGTTTTCGAGACTCTACTGTACCAGGATACACCAGTGTACGGAAAATTTTTACTTGTATACAACAGAAGATAATATGGCGATCGGTTAAAATATGACCCCAATATTTCTACATTTTAGGACTCAGAAAACCTAGAAACTTCCAGCAATGCAAAGATTTTGCGAAGTCATTTTGAAATTAGTATGGAATGTGTGTGTGGAGGTGACCTTCCACACCCACATACTCTAAGATTTTGTTCACTGTATTTGAAGCTTCATAACTGCCGTGCTCTCTCTCGAAAACCTCTTAAATTTCACAAGAAGGTTTGCGTATTAGGGGCAGTTGATGCTATTAAATTGTCATGATAAACTCTTTAAGCCCATTTGTTTCGCTTTGAATGCCTCTCAGAAATCCATAAAAAATTGATTGTTTTTATTTAATAACTAGCTGCAAATACCCGTTTTGCTGCGTTTTTATTTGTTCGTACATTTATATGTAATATAGTATACTATAACTCGGGCTGCGCGTGATGCTGCGGAGTCCATATTCCGAGTGTTCTCGGATTATGGGTGGAAGGAATAGACACGTGGGAATATACAGCGGAATCAGATTAACGTATCGCGAATATACTCGGACGTAATGACAATTTTTTTGTTATTGGCATTTACAAGGTTTTAAAAAGTTATGCCTACTTTTAAAAATGAGGTTTTTGCCACATAATAATAATAATAATAATAAATTTTAATAAGAAAATATCATAACAGATGTCGGTATAAGATAAGAATGGTAAAACAAACTCGTTATTCAGAAAAAGAAATCAGTACAAGATATATTCCTTATTCTGTATACCTGATTCCATTAAAACTAAAAACTGAAAAAAATATTAATTTAGGAATGTTTTTAGGGCAAAAACCTATAAAAATCTATAAAAGAAGAGAAAAATATAAGCATACAAACTATAAGTAAGAAACATATTATAAATCCTCCTCACTACATACTAACATGCAAAATATTTTTGTTTTGCATTTTAAAAATCGCCGTTCCCACACAATTATTTATTTTTTGTTTTTATTTCTTTTTTTAATTAAAACTATTTTTTTATATAGAAAAATTACAGAATATTCCAGAGTTGTTCAGCTACGTTTTTGTGGAAATAGCCTTTTCTGATAAAATAATGATCGAAATTTTTTTCTTTATCAGGTAAATACCTCGATATTAATATAATGTATTTTACTAAAATTAATACTACAACATTCGTTCAAATCTTCATGTAGAATTTACAGTAGTTAGGTTACATATATACGTAACAATCATAATTATATCTAGATTTATATTTAGTTATTTTTATGATAAAATTATCTAACGAAATTCTTAAACTGTTTATAAACGATTATAAACTTAATAAAATTATGACAAATTCGTTCAAATACTGAATTATTTTACTAGATTCTTACAACAATTTATACTTAGTACATTCTGAATGTTTGCCACTTTTCAGAGAAACCATTGAGTTGTGCCAATCAGTGGTGCAAACAAATGAACTATTTAAAACCAACGGTACAGTAACATGAAATAAGGTCAATTCCTCCTTTAGAAATTATTATATAATTGTATTCAGTAACATTAACCGTACTTACACATACACAGATAAAGTCTTTAAAAAGTAGAATGATTCATTTAAATTATTCTGCGAATTTTAAGCAGGCGCTGCAAATTAGAAGGCAAATTATGTCATTATTATTGACTATAAAAACAAACATGTTTAAAAAACTTGATTGTAGTAAATTAACTGATCTGATATTTGATTTAAATCGTATATATTTGATGCTACTGAAACGAAATCCCGCAGTCGCCATTGTGTCATAAATAATTTCAAAACGCAGGATTTGATAACATGTTAATTAATTATTATTATTTAGTTATACACTATTATTAAAATAATTAGAATTAAAATTAATCTGAAAGACATTTCAAAATTTTTAGTGCTTTCCTTCTGTCGTATAATAACCAGAAAAATGTAAAGTGTGCTATGGACATTTGCGTGTTAATAAAGAAGAAAACCATCAGGTTAGAGAATTTTATAATATTTATTTAAAACTTTAATAATTCTTTATATGTATTAAGAAGTTGTTTAGATATAAAAATGAATGTAAAAGTGTTCCAGATAATTTAGTTTATTTATATTTCTTACATTAGGTCTTTAAACTTCGCCTTAACAATTCAGAAATTGAATCTTCAGACTCACGACAATCACAGGGATATTATAAATTAAGTTGTTTGACTCTGAGTAGTTTAGTCAACTGTATTGTAGTTCTATCAGTTCTCCAAGCTCATCAAATGGCTAAAATAGGAAAGTACATACATTACAAGTAGAAACTTTTACAATAAAAAAATATAATAAAACCTACTAAAATTACCAGATAACTATTTCATATTTCATATATAACATACATTACTGTGAACCGCCGGGGAGGGTGTAGGCCTCCCGATCCGGTAACAGGTTGTTAAACCCTTTCACTGTCAGGATGGGTGGTTTAAGGGTTCTTTTTCCCGGGTCGAGTGGTGGAGGGAGGAGTGCGTCGGTAAGATGACCGGCGATATACGAGTAAAGATGACACCACTTTAAAAGGATAACAACGATTTATTAGCTACATAGAGATTACAATAACCAATTTCAAAAGGGAAAATCTGAATCCCTGAACCGCGAAGGACCGAGAGAGAGTTCACAAAAATAAGGTCCATACCTCTTTATGTCTTTGAATATTCTTAAGGAAAAAGGTTGTGATATCCAACGATGTGGTAGAATTAGGACAATAATTCTTCTTCCGGACACAATATCGTATAGGACACAGTATATGAATAGGACACAATATTCTTAGGACACAGTTGTAAAAGNTTTTGTGGAAATAGCCTTTTCTGATAAAATAATGATCGAAATTTTTTTCTTTATCAGGTAAATACCTCGATATTAATATAATGTATTTTACTAAAATTAATACTACAACATTCGTTCAAATCTTCATGTAGAATTTACAGTAGTTAGGTTACATATATACGTAACAATCATAATTATATCTAGATTTATATTTAGTTATTTTTATGATAAAATTATCTAACGAAATTCTTAAACTGTTTATAAACGATTATAAACTTAATAAAATTATGACAAATTCGTTCAAATACTGAATTATTTTACTAGATTCTTACAACAATTTATACTTAGTACATTCTGAATGTTTGCCACTTTTCAGAGAAACCATTGAGTTGTGCCAATCAGTGGTGCAAACAAATGAACTATTTAAAACCAACGGTACAGTAACATGAAATAAGGTCAATTCCTCCTTTAGAAATTATTATATAATTGTATTCAGTAACATTAACCGTACTTACACATACACAGATAAAGTCTTTAAAAAGTAGAATGATTCATTTAAATTATTCTGCGAATTTTAAGCAGGCGCTGCAAATTAGAAGGCAAATTATGTCATTATTATTGACTATAAAAACAAACATGTTTAAAAAACTTGATTGTAGTAAATTAACTGATCTGATATTTAATTTAAATCGTATATATTTGATGCTACTGAAACGAAATCCCGCAGTCGCCATTGTGTCATAAATAATTTCAAAACGCAGGATTTGATAACATGTTAATTAATTATTATTATTTAGTTATACACTATTATTAAAATAATTAGAATTAAAATTAATCTGAAAGACATTTCAAAATTTTTAGTGCTTTCCTTCTGTCGTATAATAACCAGAAAAATGTAAAGTGTGCTATGGACATTTGCGTGTTAATAAAGAAGAAAACCATCAGGTTAGAGAATTTTATAATATTTATTTAAAACTTTAATAATTCTTTATATGTATTAAGAAGTTGTTTAGATATAAAAATGAATGTAAAAGTGTTCCAGATAATTTAGTTTATTTATATTTCTTACATTAGGTCTTTAAACTTCGCCTTAACAATTCAGAAATTGAATCTTCAGACTCACGACAATCACAGGGATATTATAAATTAAGTTGTTTGACTCTGAGTAGTTTAGTCAACTGTATTGTAGTTCTATCAGTTCTCCAAGCTCATCAAATGGCTAAAATAGGAAAGTACATACATTACAAGTAGAAACTTTTACAATAAAAAAATATAATAAAACCTACTAAAATTACCAGATAACTATTTCATATTTCATATATAACATACATTACTGTGAACCGCCGGGGAGGGTGTAGGCCTCCCGATCCGGTAACAGGTTGTTAAACCCTTTCACTGTCAGGATGGGTGGTTTAAGGGTTCTTTTTCCCGGGTCGAGTGGTGGAGGGAGGAGTGCGTCGGTAAGATGACCGGCGATATACGAGTAAAGATGACACCACTTTAAAAGGATAACAACGATTTATTAGCTACATAGAGATTACAATAACCAATTTCAAAAGGGAAAATCTGAATCCCTGAACCGCGAAGGACCGAGAGAGAGTTCACAAAAATAAGGTCCATACCTCTTTATGTCTTTGAATATTCTTAAGGAAAAAGGTTGTGATATCCAACGATGTGGTAGAATTAGGACAATAATTCTTCTTCCGGACACAATATCGTATAGGACACAGTATATGAATAGGACACAATATTCTTAGGACACAGTTGTAAAAGTGACGGCGAATGAACGACTCCCCCGAGAAGGGGAAGGAAGGGGTTTTTATAAGTTCGGCGTGGGAGAATGGTCATGTGACCAATTGTTGTGAGGTAAAAGGTATGCAGATGGGTCAGAGTTGTTCCCGGGCCCATGTTAACTATAAACTTTAGCGTTGGAATGTGGGATTAGTTTCGAATTGAACGGATGTTTATGTCGAACATAAACGAAAAGTTTTTTTTCCCGTTAGGTTCCACTTTAAGTTAAAGGAAAATTTAATTGGATTTTAAGCAAATACGGGACAATTAATCGACAAATAGTGGGCAAAAATTCCGGATTTCACATTACGCAATATTATTGAGTATCAAAACATATAAAACAAATAAATTTTATCCTAACCATTGAAAAATATTAAAATTAACGATGCATATAAATAATATGAAAAAACTTTTCAAAAGCGAAAACTTTCCTATACAGTTTTACTGTCCTAATTACACTTAATTTAAACAATTTCATCATTAGTCTGAACGAAGCACATAGCTAAAAGCTACGGCAAATGAAAAATGTCTCTAATGAAACACTTATCCACTTTAGGATACTACAAATACAACAATAGAGGATGGAAAGTAAAATTGCAAAACATCGAAGCATAAAAATTGTCTTAGAATCATGCTCTGCGTGCCACCTTTTGTATTAGTAAGACGCGAAACATTGCCAAAAGAAAATTTTTCAAAGGTAATAACTTTAAAATGCACCCGAAACAGTAGATAATTCGTTTTCTTGATAGAAAAATGACTTAATGTTGATTGGAAATGGTGGCCTCAGCGCTACTGAATCAGCGCGACTTATATGTTTTTAGGCCATTCCATCACGGTATCATTCCATATCAAACCAACAGCAACTGTAATGATGATATCATTCCATCACGGTATCATTCCATCACGGTATCATTCCATCACGGTATCATTCCATCACGGTATCATTCCCATATCAAACCAACAGCAACTGTAATGATGATATCATTCCATCACGGTTTATAGCCTACTCGGTGTTCAGGATGTAACCGAGTAGGCTATAAACCTGAACACCGAGTAGGCTATAAACCGTGATGGAATGATATCATCATTACAGTTGCTGTTGGTTTGCCAGTCTATTATTCGTAGTAAAACAGCATAAAATAGACTACCTGAATTCAAAAACTTTACATAATTTTTATATTATAAATTGCAGTATAAATTGTCTAGATGAAACAGTCAATACGGAAAGATGCTTACGATTTTAACGATAATTGTAATAGAATTTTGGACACAAATTCTGATAATAAGATGTTTACCTGTAAATGATAATGTATAAGCATAATTTAATAACATGGTTTAAATAACTTTGTGTTTATTGTACTTATTACAAATAAGACTAATACACGGTATTCTATGGATCAACTTACGATATATTAATTAAGATAAAGAAAATATAATTAAAAGTCAAAGTAATCATGATTCGAATTTGGAAAAATACAGTATGTTGTATAGCTCAGCTTTGATATTAGAGTACTATGTAATTGCTTTTCTAGCTCTGTTATACAGTAGACCTCCCTGTAACACAGTAGATACGTTCCGTTTTATATGACTTCCGTGTTTACGAGGCACTTAAACACATGAGCCAATCACAGTTCGGCACGAATGCACTTTACTAACTACGGCTGTTTGAAAGGTTTTCTTCCATAAAATTAATCGACTCTAGACTAATTTGACTCAACATTTCCAAAACGCATAATTTATTGAGAATGATCCATATAAATTATGCTGTAAACAAAAAGTTGTAGAATTACTTACCGAGTGTACACCGTTCGACGACGCTATTGCTTAAGTTTGTTTTCGTCGTGAAGCAGCGCGTGGAGCGGCGCATGGAACAGCAAGCGCGTGTTTCGTGATAAATTATTTTTCTTCGAAAAATTTTCTGAACTTTGGAGAAATCATTAATATAAATATAATTTTTATGGCCGTAAAATAATAAATGGTTTTTAGTAAATCCGTTGCTCGTTTAAACTCAACGGTTTGTGCAATATCCGCTATTGGGTATGGATTCGACCAATCATGTCGCGACACGAGTCAGGGATGACCTCTTACCGTATTACACGGTTCTCTTTTAGCGTCTTTATACGAATAGGCTCGCAATTATTTTTCTCCGTGTTATACGAATTTGTATTATATGAACTAGTGTTATAGGGGTCTAGTGTATACAGTCGACCCCCCTATAATTACGGTCCCTATAGTTACGATTCCTATAAAACTACGAAAAAATTGCTACC